GAAAATGAAACCGCATCAACAAAATCATCAACAACAATCAATGTAGCAAACAGTTTTTTGAATTTATTTTTCTTTTGATATTCACTTATTTTGTATTGTTGTTCAAGTATCTCTTCCAAATCTTCTTTATGGAACTCATCAAAATAAACCTTCTCTTTCTTCGGATTTACTTTTAGTGTTTTTTCAATGTATTCTTTCACTGGGTGCCAGACACTATCAACGTGGATACTAGCAGAAAATATAAACACCCTCTCAAAACAATTTCTGTAAATATCTAATATCATATTCTGTAGTAAGATAGATTTACCAGAGCCAGACGGTCCCACTACAATTTGTGAAAATGGTATTCTAGGGGCTACATCATATTTTGATTGTTTAAACTCATACTCTGCTGATTTATGCGGTTTAATAATTGGAACGGTATTATTCATAATATAAATTATTTAGAAATTAATTTCTAATATTTATTGTAAATGGCATATCTTATTTTACCTTTGAGTAATTGGGGTCAGGTGAAATATGGAACAGACTGCCATTATTACCCTCATAAGAAGTTAATTAGAAATATAAAATCCACCCCTTTGGCTCTTGCTTCTTTTTCACTCCCGACACGGTCTCTTTTTTGCTATGACAGCAAGCAGTAGAAGATTTGAAGCCTTTTTGCTTGAGAATTTGTTTGATGCTATGTTTCAATCAGCACAGTTCATTTTCTTTGACATTTACCTACCGCCCCTTATGGATTTTTGTTTGCGCCTAAAAATCCATATATAATTAGATAGTAGTAAAATATATCATCTAATTATATAGGATGAGCAGTTGTGAAGTTTTTGATAGTTATATCAATACAATAGATGTGATTGAAGATAGTGTCATTGATGATACTAAATTTCCAATTGTAAAAGATAATAAACTTAAACAGATATTCAGGGTAATGCTGGAGTTCCTGAAGGTAATTATAAATTATCTTAAGTATTATATAAATGCCACCAAAGAAAGTAAAACCAGATATGAGTAGTAAAATGAAGAAGCAACCAATACCTGAAGATTTTGAACTATCAGATGATGAACCCACTACAATAAATCTAGATGAGGAGCAAAAACTAACAAGCAAGTTTATCACCTTTGATTGCCCACTATGTCAGGGGAAACTTCAGTTAAGAAATGAAATTGAAATCAACCCCAAGGGAATAAAATGTAAGTGTAATCCGTGTTCATTCAAAATCAGTAAAAATGACAAGACAATGAATGTCAGCAGGGATGACAACGGGGAGATAGTTTTAGAAAGTGAAGACCACAGCATTAGCTTTTCGTGGAACCGGCAAATCACCCCTGAAGACAAGAAAACCGAAAGCACTAACAATATGATACGGGATGTAATGGCTACTACCCCCAGAAGTAAAGGACAAATGGCAATAAATGAAATGGATTGAAACTATTTAAAGAGTGATTTTAACACACTTTGAACTGATGAATAAAAAAATAAATATCTAAATAACTATATATAGAAATGTCTGATTTAGATGATAAACAGCCTGAAATGGCAGAGATGCTGAACAAGATGACAAGATACAACAAGAATGTGAAGGTGTTGATGGACATAATGAACAAGGCATTAGAAAAACTTGATATAATAGTGAAAAATAAACCTGCTGAAAATAATGATGCTGATGCTGAAAAGGAAAGGATTGAAAAAATCTTTGAGGCTAAAAAAATCGGGAGACCTGTAGGAACTTTTGAAACCAAGCAACAGCAGTATCTGAAAATGCTGGATGAAGGCAAGATAAGAATGCCTAAGGCATCCACTCTGGAATTTTACAAGATTGAAAGGGATGGTGAAGTCTTCAAAGTGATGGGTGAATAGGTGAATTTTTATATCTATATATATATATATGTATATATAAATATGAAATTGTTAGAATTGTTTAGCGGAACCGGCAGTGTGGGAACTGTCGCTAGTGCGCTTGGCTGGACTGTTGTGTCATTAGATTTGAAAGGGGCTGATATAAACTGCGACATACTACAATGGAAATACAAAAAATATCCAGTGAAATACTTTGATATGATACACGCATCTCCCCCTTGTATTGAATATAGTAGGGCTAAAACCGTCGGTGTGCGAAAAATAGATGAAGCTAACCTAATAGTTTTGAAAACGCTTGAGATAATCAACTACTTTAATCCGCGAATATGGCTGATAGAAAATCCGCAAAGTGGGCTTTTGAAAGAGCAGGAGTTTATGAAAGGGCTTCCATACTTTGATATTGACTATTGGAAGTATGGCTTTAATTACAGGAAAAGAACGAGGCTCTGGACTAACTTGGACACTTGGACACCCAGACCTCTTTGTAAAAAGGATTGTGATAGTATGGATGGGAACAGGCATAAAGAAACAGCACAACGCTTACCCTCAAAAACCAAAGCCGACTGGGGGGATAATCCTGTTTTTCATTCACAGACTGATTTGTATAAAATCCCTCAAGAACTGGTAGAAGAAATACTGAATGCTGTAAATGTTGTATGTTTCAGATAGTTGCGCCTTGCCACTGAAATACTGCGCCTTGAAGTAGGATTTTGATTTCCTACTGGGTAGGATGTTCATTTTCTACTTGGAAAAAGGGCTCATAAGGTAGGATAGGGGGGGTCTTACTTGGGCTCATAAGGTATGGGGGCTGGACATTGGGATGTCTAAGGGCTGGACATTGGGATGTCTAAGGGCTGGACATTGGGATGTCTAAGGGCTGGACATTGGGATGTCTAAGGGCTGGACATTGGGTATTGAGCCTATGGACGTATTCAGCATTTGAATACAGAATAAGGGCGTATTCAGATACTGAATACGGGGTATTCAGCATTTGAATACAGAATAATGGCGTATTCGGATACTGAATACAGAATACGGGTGTATTCGGATACTGAATACGGGTGTATTCGGATACTGAATACGGGGTATTTAACAAATGAATTGTTTTTAGATGGTTTCTTCTTCTCATTCATTTTTGTGTATTGGCTTTACCATTGCTGGGATGTGGCTTTATAGATAAATTATTTCATGATTTATCTTAAAGTCCATTCATAGGTATAGGCTTTACAATAGGCTTTTGAATGAGGTTAAGTGTATGGTTTGTTGTTATGGTTTATGGTAAGGTTTGTTTTATGGTCTATTGTATCGTTTAGGTTGTTTTGTTTTTTCTTTGTTTTATGTGTTTGTTATGATTTTGTTGTTGATTATGTTATAATCTAGGGAAAAGGGATAGGAAAGACACTTAAAGAGTTATTACCTATCTATAGTAGGTAATGGAGGATACTAAAGTCAAGTGTGCTAAATGTTTTAAGGAAATGGAAGAGGGTAAATACAAAACTTGTGATAAATGTAGGGAATATATGAGGGCTAATCATCAAAAGAACAAAGAAACATATAATGAAAGGAGGAGAGAGTATTATTACAATCATATAGAGGAGGCAAAGGAATATGCTAGAAATTATGGTAGGACACACAGGGAAGAAATAAATGAAAGAAGAAGAAATCATAGAGCAGAAAACATTGAACAAGTGAATGCTAAAATAACATGGATGACCTGCCCTGTATGTGATGATTATGAAATTCAATGTAAAAATTACAAGAGACACACACAAACAACAAAGCATCTGGAGAACTTAAAGAAACAGCAAACATAAATTTCATTTATTATTTCAAAATTATAAAAGTGAAATTGTTTTTTTTGCTATGATTTATGGTATAGTCTTTTTTATAATCAATTGTATTGTTTAGGTTGTTTGAGTTTTTTTTTGTTTTGTTGTTTTGTTGTTATGATTTATGTTATTGTTTTCTATAAGGTGTTGCTCCCCTGTCTTTGGTATTAACCCCATAGAATTTGCTTGTATAATAATGTGGGCGGTTAGATGAGAAAGACGGGGGAGCAACAGTCTAACTCTATGATATACCCTATCGTCTGGTAAACTAACACAGCTATTGAACATGGCCATAGAAATAGTTGATTTACCCATTAAAAATCGTGAGTTTCAATAGCTATGTTAGTTTATCAGAGGGTAAACTTTGTAATGGATGTGAAAACCCCGCCAAACCAACGGTTTCCCGTTCGGAATATATGATCTACAGATGGTGGTTACTTTTCCACATCTATGTTAGAACCAATAATATACCATGATGTTTATCATCTAAGATCTATACAGAATTATAAATAAATATATATATATTTAATTATATGTATAAATTATATAACCATAGAAATACCTGTAGGAATACCTGAATCAACCCTTCATGGGTTCAAACATTGCATGTGAGTAACAACATTGGTTCAGCTCCAGTTCCGATTGGATCAACATTAAGCAACAATGGATGGGTAGCCCGTTTTTTTTAAACATCTATTAAACAATGTAACATGTACAATATATACCAAAAAACACACACAGAAATATGAACTTGACATAGTGTGGTTGACACAAAACGCTTCACTTAAATTTATAAGTTTCTCCTTTTTTGGATTTACATTATACTGCAAATCACGCTTATGCAATTTTCGGCACAACCTCACTCTGCTGAATCTGACAGGCCGACCCAGTGTGCCAGAATCACTGTCAAACACTGGGATTCGGCTGGAGGTGTTCCCTCAGAAACCATAGACCAATAGTAGCATTTGACAAGAGACGGACCATTCCAAAGCTGGTTTGTGGTTTCAACCCCTCTGAAAAATATGAGTTTGTCAGTTGGGATGATGACATTCCCAATCTATGGAAAATAACATGTTCCAAACATTTCCAAACCACCAACCAGCCTCACATGAACGGCACATATCTTATTGAGATCTTCGCCTAACTTTTCCTGTGGCCGTGTTTGCTTCACGACACATGATATGATTGATTTTGGCTCAAAATCTGCCCAACGAAAGAGATTGTTAAATAACACATGAACATCTTTAAACAAAATGACCACGATCGGAATCGGTGGGTCTATTCTTTAAACACACCGCTGTCAACCCTGCCTTTGATAGTGTTGCCGTCCATCAAGACCCAAGGGAAGTATTTTTCCTGCGCTGCAAGCAGGGCAGAACAACCATATCTTGTAGAAACTGTTATAACATGTTGCTGCCAATATAGAGACATTCTGCACATGCAAACCGCGGCAGAAATCCAAAAAACCTCTGGCAAATCCCATTCAATTCCATTAAGTCACCATAAATCCTACTAAGTGACTTCAATGGGAATTTATAATGGAATTTTCATGGGATTAACCACTCAACTAGTGGGATTCACCATGAAAATCCCAATAAAAAATCCCACGAAAAAACCATCGACTCATTCAACCCGCTGCAGGAGGTGATCTCCTGATCACTGGAATTCACGTTGATGTAGATCTGGGTCACCATTCGAGGCACCTGAGAAAATTCACCAGCGAAGAGGATTTAAGTCAAACGCCATTTGTCAAGGGACCATCCAGGAAAATACTTCGCTGGTGGTTTTTAGCCAACCCCTCTGAAAAATGATGGAGTGAAAGTCAGTTGGGATGATGACATTCCCAACTGAATGGAAAGTCATAATCCATTCATGTCCCAAACCACCAAGCAGTTAGAGAATTGGATGGTGATGTCATGGGAATTCATGGAAAAATCCTTGGAATGTCATGGAAATTTCATGGCATTTACTGGGAACACGGGAAACAAATCATGAGGATTTTGGGATATCACCTACTTGGGGTTGCAGTTCATGTGATGTCAATGGGTATAGCTATGTAATACTATGGAAATTTAACCTCCATGAGTTGGGATATAACATGATATAACCCTTGTAATTACAGTGATGTACCCAGTTGTAACCTCAACTGTACACAACAAAAAAGGCGGAAAATGGAAAATAAAACCTGTTGGAGACCAGCAGCTGGTCACTGTTTGATTGCTGGTTGAAGAGCATGCTTCAACCGAACGGACAAACTTGGGAGCATCATGCAAAAATGGAACATGACAAACAAACATTAAAAGTTTATGAGAGACCACAATTTCTTGGAACCAATTGAAGAATCCAAATGCACTAGTGAAATATTTGGTATAACAGCCATCGACCTGGTAGAAAGACCGCCCCAGCCTTCAACATCTTCATAAAGATCTGGGCACCTCCAACTCCAAGGTGGCTGGAGAATCCCCTGTAAATCTGTGAAACGCATGGGATAAATATGGGAAACATCGGGAACATCACCTAAAGATGGAGGTTGACTTCGCCAAAATCATCGAACTCTGTCTGAGCTTCCAGCGTTTGACACCGGATTGATGTAACACATGGGGAAAACGAAGAACTGCCTTCCCTTGGGCTTCTCCAGCCACTAATACCATCCCTTCTGGCAACTCAAATGACTAGATCCAACAACGAGGGCTTCAGGGGGCTATTCACTATTGGGTGGGAGTTAACCATTATTAACCATTAATAGCCATGATTACCCATTTTTTTCAGCCATTAATAGCCATTGGGATTAGCTGTTGGCTGTTTCTCAGATATTGCAGCCCCTGCGCATCCCAGTTGATGTGCGCTAACCAGCAGCTAACAGAATGGCTTAAAAAAAGAAAGTACCATAGAGTACCCTCTGGTAATTTGACATAGCTATTGAAAATAGTTTTTTTTATGGTTGATTTGCCTACAAAAAATGATGGTTTTCCATAACTATGTTAGTTCACCTGTTAGTTTACCAGAGGGCAACACTGCTACAATTTGGAAGTTTCCTAAATCCGGGGATCCATAAAACCGCAGGTTTCATACTAAAATTGTCTACCCTCTGGTAATTTAACGTAGCTATACCCATTAATAGCATGGTGATTTTCCATGGTTATGTTAGTTTACCAGAGGGTAATTTTGGATGATTTGGGTATCCCCATTTCAGGAAACCTCCACTGCCAAGAATTTGGTGGCAACATGCTGCACCATGTCTTGGTTACACTCACAAAACTATACCCATTTCGTGGTGGCTTCAACTTGAAACAACCCGCAAACAAATATTTAAACGTATATATATATATATGTGTATATATATATATATCTTAATAACATCCAAAGATAGAACAGTAACATTTTCATAAAATCCCGAAATTTCTATTCCTCTGGTTGGTGGTTTCAACCCCTCTGACACATAGTCAGTTGGGATTATTCTTCCCAATATGATCGGAAACATAAAATTCATGTTCCAAACCACCAAGCAGTTAGAGAATTGGATGGTGATGTCATGGGAATTCATGGAAAAATCCTTGGAATGTTCAGTCAATTCCGCTTCTCTCGGTCCACCACGTCCAGACGTGCTCGGTCTCGGGACCTCGGGTGGAGATATCCTTCCAGCCATCAGCCTTCAGGCTGTGGATCTCAGTGGGTGGACTCCTGGAGATTGTCTGCAGAAAGAACCGTTGTGGATATTTAAAGTAAATATTATAATATATGATAATTATATATAATATGATATTATATATATAATATGATAAATATATATATATGATATATATATATATATATGTATGCATGCATGCATGTATGTATGTATGTATGTATGTATATATTATCTGTATAATATGAACAACATATATCTTGTGTACTGTATATGTTTGGTACAAAATAGAGATGGATATAGGTGGGCACATTCCATCATTCATTATCTTTCCAGGCTTCTGGCGCAGTAAGGTCACAACATAACTTACCCAGATAATCCCATGAAATCCCATGAAATCCCATGAATCACAAGTTGAAGTCCCATGAAATCCCATGAATAATCCATAATCCCATTATTACTGGTTGGTGGTTTCAACCCCTCTGAAAAATATGTTCAACCCCTCTGAAAAATATGACTTCGTCAATTGGGATGATTATTCCATTCCCAATATAAAGTCACAAAATTCCATGGTTCCAAACCACAAACCAGATTACAGTATATAATCATATATACCCTCTGGTAAACCAACATAGCTATTGAAAATCACCATTTTTGATGGGAAAACTCACTATAAATTGCCAGTTTCAATAGCTATTTTGACATAACCAGAGGGTAATCCATAAAAAAACCCATGAGAAAATCCCATGAAAATCCCTCCCTTCGTCCTTTCGTTCAGTTGCTGCGCCAGCGAGTCCAAGAACTCCTCCAAGGACGATTCTGGCGCTTCCAGCTCGGCAGCGTCCTGAGGCAATCTGGTTGGTGGTTGACCTACCCATCATTCATGGAGGAAAAAAACCATGGAAAAATGAAGATTTCACCAATTTAACCATGAAAAAATGGATCTATAACTGGTTGGTGGTATATTATGATATTACCCATTATTATAGATTTTTTATATTACCCATTATTTATATAGGATATCCCATGGGATATTACGATAATTATTTGATAATCTTAATCTCATTATAATACTGGTTGGTCGTGCAACAACCATCTTGAAAAATATGAAAGTCAGTTGGGAAGGATGACAAGCCTTGACGCGAGGAGCTCGAGGGAATCGCCAAGGCGCGCAGAGATGTCAAATCAATGCGTCGTTCCAATCCGCTTGGCTGAGCGAAAAAGCTACACACCACTGGAGCCAGCGAAAAGGCCAAAACAAAACGTTCCTTGCAATGACAGTCTCCACATAAAATCTGTATAAATCTCGCAGAATCTCAACTTATGGTTACATCCCATGTTGAAAAACCATGATCCCAACTGCATCCCTAAGTGGGGATTTTATGAGCATATAATCACCTAATATAGGGAGATATACATATACATATATTATATTATATTATATTATATTATATTATATTACATTAAATTATATTATATTATATTATATTATAGTATATTATATTATGTTATGTTATATAATGTTATATTATATTATATTATAGTATATTATATTATGTTATGTTATATAATGTTATGTTATATTATGTTATATTATATTATGTTATGTTATATTATATATTATATTATATTATGTTATGTTATATTATATTATATTATACTATATTATATTATGTTATGTTATATTATACATTATATATTATATTATATTATATTATGTTATATTATATTATATTATATTATGTTATGTTATACTATATTGTAAATTATATTATGTTATATTATATTATATTAAATTATATTATATTATAAAACTATATATATTATATTATATACATTAAATTATATTATATTATCTTATCTGATATTATATTATATTATATATGTGTATATTATATATATATGTACATATACTATTATATACTGTATTATAATTGGGATATAGATCCCACCATAAGCCAATCCTGAAGTGGGTCTACGAATATGGAAAGTCACCACCATAACAATCAGTTGGTCATCCTTTTTAGAGCGTCAACCATCCATTTTTTGGGTGGATATATGGGGATCATTGGGGATATCGATGATTTTGAGCCAATTGCCAGTTGTTGATTGAATTTACCATTTCACCAACAAGACGGATATGTTGCGAATAGCAGTATGCGAACAGAGATATGGCAAATCCACCTTTTTTCATCATTTCGGGGTGGCCTTAATTTCCATCTGTTAGTTTATCTATACCCAGAATGGGAGATCTTCACCAGATTTGCCAGATCCCTGAAGCGCGGGGAACAGGTGGAATAACAACCTGGTGTATATAATCTGGCTGAATTGTAATAAATAATTCCAGGTGATTACATTGTACTGGTTAGTTTCACCTGATTCTCTGGTGTATATCTATAATATATATATATAGATATATAGTAATACTACAACCGAGGTGTATTTTGATGATTACGGATGTGAACATACCTGAAATATCCTGAAATAAAGCTAGCTATGGGGATGATTCCCCTAAAACTATCAAAAACATTCTAAAACTAAGAAGCATCATTCCAGTGACGTCACGACGTGAGGTAATCAAATTAGATCTAATCCTGCAACAACGTTGTATGATTTTCATGAGACATACCCTCTGGTAATTTAACGTAGCTATTGAAAATGGCCATCTATAGTGAGTTTTCCCATTAAAAATTGTGATTGTCCATAGTTGCTGGCGGGACCACAGGTCGCCTGGCTGTTTGCTTGTGTGGGGGCGTAATTACGTTCCTTTTTCTGCGTTCGCCTGGACTTTTTTTTGTAGCTATGTTTATGTTACGCTTGCACGCTGCCTCATCATCTTCCACGCAACACGTCACGCTACGCTTGCACGCTGCCTCAACATCTTGCACGCAACACGTCATGCTACGCTTGCACGCTGCCTCATCATCTTGCACACAACACGTCATGCTACGCTTGCACGCTGCCGCATCATCTTGCGCACAACACGTCATGCTACGCTTGCACGCTGCCGCATCATCTTGCACGCAACACGTCGTCATGCTACGCTTGCACGCTGCTTCATCTTGGCATCAAGCTTGGATGACTGCTGGCAAACATCTGGGCATCAAATGCTATCAGGTGTCACGCCAGCGAAAAGAGTTTTGCCGCTCTCTCTCCGAAGTTGATCCCAAGCTTTCCAAGAAAGCTGGAACACAAGTCATTGACAGAAAGTGGAAGGCATTGAAAGACTTTTTGCCAAGCAACTACCACCGAAAGATCAATGGCCCACATGGCAGCCAGGTCAACCCTCTGATGAGAAAGCGTGTCTTTCAGTTTTGCTGGCGCAATTCGCTGCAATCGCCCAGCCCAGCACAGTTCTTAAAACACCTGGCAAAGTTGCAATGCAAAAAAAAATGTAGCGGCGTTAGTTTTCAGGATGATGAAAACTTGCCACCTTTGCCTGACGTCTGATTTCCAATGGGCAGAATACCTGGATAATGGTTTCGTAACCAGGCGACTCATGGTCCCGTGACCTAGTTTAGTTATGTTAGTTTACCAGAGGGTACCGGCCATCTGTTTTTCGGAACAAACTCTACAGAATTTTATGGCTCAAGCCATGTTCACCTTCATCGATGTCCAGGCCACGGCTATCCCAGGAGGCTGGCCGGGAACGCCAAAATTCATGGGGATTTCATGGGTCGTGGGACTCAACTCGCCCCAATTTCCACTTGGCTTTGGATCAAAAGCTGCCCAAAATTGGCAAAATGCCTGGCTATGGTGATCAATTTCGTGGTTCAATGGCTGGAAAATCCGTCTGAAAACTCAGTTCATCAATGGATGTGCCGGAAAATTCACAAACTACATTTAGTTACATGCTAATTGGTGGTTTCAACCCCCCTGAAAAATATGAAAGTCAGATTGGATCATCATCCCAACTGTTGGGGAAAATAACAAATGTATACAAATGTTCCAAACCACCAACCAGCATGGCATGTCTAGCCCGGAAAATCCATGAAAAAATGGTGGATATATCTTCCAGCACACGGTTGACACAGCTCCTTGGGTGGCGTCCATTTCTGTGGTCGACCTGACGCTGAGGTTTTTTTCGGACAGGAGGACGGACGGCGTTCACATAATTGAGTGATGAATGACTGTTAAACATAATCATAATTAGTGGGGATTATTGAGGATATCATAGGATGATTTTGAGCCAATTGCCAGTTCTTGATATTATGACATTACCCATTATTATAGATTATGATATTACCCATTATTTATACAGGATATCCCATGGGATATTATGATAATTATTTGATAATCCTAATCTCATTGTAATACTGGTTGGTCGTGCAACAACCATCTTGAAACATGATGGAGTTCGTCAATGGGAAGGATGACATCCCTTTTTTATGAAATGAAAAAATATGGAAAATACAAATCATGTTCCAAACCACCAACCAGTAATCATAATTAGTGATGAATTACGGATCTATCTTTTCGGGGACTATAGATCATGATCCGATCATGGATACAGTATATCCCTTCATGGATCACAGCGTTGTGGGCTTGGAAGCCGTTTCTCGAGATTGACTACATTTGTCAAATCCAAAAAAGGCAGGCAGGTACATTCAAAAACCAATTCACCATGATATCCTGGTGGTATATACACATTGTTGTGAAAGTCATCTCCCCATTTGAGGCACCCACTGCCCATCGGATGGCCACTTTGATCTCCCCACAGGACTTCCCCGTCATGGGACTCTTCGGCTCCACCGAATACCACGCAGAGAAGCACAGGACGCTCATCAGGGCCCAAAAACCTGAAAAACGAAAAAAAAAAACAGGCGACACCAAGTCAGCACCCAATGAGCGGTTTACCCATTGATCAATGAGATTTCTTGGGATAGTTATTACCAATGATCCAATGAATCCAATGATCAATGATGTTATTTTTGTTGGTTGAGATAGTTATGAGGACATGTTTTTTTCCTGGGAATCCATGACCAAAAACTAAACCAATCCCCAATTGGATCCCACGGCTCCACAATTGTCCACATTCCAGTTGCTGAGTGAGTGTTTTTTTTTGCAACATGTAATGACCATGCTATGCTGCACGAACCATCTCTATATATATATATAATGTTGGCACCTGATTAGTAGCATGGTACTCTATTGTGGCAAACTTTTTCCTCCTTATTCAGTAACCTGCTGTTTGGTGGGGGGGGCCTCTATTGTGGCAAATGTTTTTCCAGATTTTTTTTTTTAATTGTTCCTAATTAATTAATTATTTTTGAATTTATTTTTAAATTGGTTACTTAAAAATGTTTTTCTGTTTTTCATTTTTTTAAATTAAAGCTTTCAAATGCAAGGTTTTCCAAATAATTAGATGCCTTATTAAACCCTTGTTAAAAAAACAGCATCCAGACAATTTTTCAAGGGGGTACCTCATGAGTGGCTCAGTTACTCAATAATATGAATGTTTGGATGGTACTCTATTGTGCCAAGCAACTTTTGGGATTGAAAAAAATCACAAACCTTCTCCACCTTTCTTTGAGTAAAGCTGGTCCATTTACTTTAGAAAGCCATATGTGTGTTAAATCTTTAAAATGCAAGGTTTTCCAAATAATTAGATGCCTTATTAAACCCTTTTTAAAAAAACATCCAAACAATTTTTCAAGGTGGTACCCCATGAGTGGCTCAGTTACTCAATAATATGACTGTTTGGATGGTACTCTATTGTGCCAAGCAACTTTTGGGGTTGAAAAAAAACAAAAACCTTCTCCACCTTTCTTTGAGTAAAGCTGGTCCATTTACTTTAGGAAACCATATTTGTATTAAAGCTTTAAAATACAAGGTTTTCCAAATAATTAGATGCCTTATTAAACCCTTATTAAAAAACAGCATCCAGACAATTTTTCAAGGGGGTACCTCATGAGTGGCTCAGTTACTCAATAATATGAATGTTTGGATGGTACTCTATTGTGCCAAGCAACTTTTGGGGTTGAAAAAAAACAAAAACCTTCTCCACCTTTCTTTGAGTAAAGCTGGTCCATTTACTTTACAAAGCCATATTTGTGTTAAATCTTTAAAATGCAAGGTTTTCCAGATAATTAGATGCCTTATTAAACCCTTATTAAAAAACAGCATCCAAACAATTTTTCAAGGAGGTACCTCATGAGTGGCTCAGTTACTCAATAATATAAATGCTTGGATGGTACTCTATTGTGCCAAGCAACTTTTGGGGTTGAAAAAAAAATCAAAAACATTCTCCACCTTTCTTTGAGTAAAGCTGGTCCATTTACTTTAGAAAGCCATATTTGTGTTAAATCTTTAAAATGCAAGGTTTTCCAAATAATTAGATGCCTTATTAAACCCTTATTAAAAAACAGCATCCAAACAATTTTTCAAGGTGGTACCCCATGAGTGGCTGAGTTACTCAATAATATGAATGTTTGGATGGTACTCTATTGTGCCCAACAACTTTTGGGGTTGAAAAAAAACAAAAACCCTTTCTCCACCTTTCCTTGAGTAAAGCTGGTCCATTTACTTTAGAAAGCAATATTTGTGATAAAGTTTTAAAATGCAAGGTTTTCCAAATAATTAGATGCCTTATTAAACCCTTATTAAAAAACAGCATCCAAACAATTTTTCAAGGAGGTACCTCATGAGTGGCCCAGTTACTCAATAATATGAATGTTTGGATGGTACTCTATTGTGCCAAGCAACTTTTGGGGTTGAAAAAAAAGTCAAAAACCTTCTCCACCTTTCTTTGAGTAAAGCTGGTCCATTTACTTTAGAAAGCCATATTTGTGTTAAATCTTTAAAATGCAAGGTTTGTATTTTCAGGTTTCAGCAAGGGGTTTATTCTATTAACCCAAATGGACTGATAAACCTAAAGTGGGTAAACACAACCGCTAAGCACCGCGACTCAAGCGCTTTTTATCCTGAGCCGCACAGCTGTAATGCATCCTATAATACAGTGTGTTTTATGTGAGGTGATTTTACACCCCCCTCAGGTAAGCCGGTTACGGCGAGGATGCCGCATTTACCAGGGCGAGGTCTTTAAGACCTGCCTCACCGAACCTGCTCTTTGCAAACCCAAGGGAAAACACACACAGCGGCTATGATACAAAAACCGATCGTCAATGCAAGCAGTGTCACAACTTATCCCTCTTCCCACTCAACACGGCCATGCCTGATGACTTTCTCATACCAGCGTCCATGCCACTTCTGCCATTCTCCAGTGTAACGGCGATCATCGTGGGACTGACTTTGCTGAGGGCGGTTGAGCCACTGACTTGCTGACGTAGATGATGAAGCTACCTCTACGGTGGATGGTCGGGCAACCGGTTTGGCGGTGCCTTTCTTGGAGGGACCCTGGCCGTACGCACCAGTCTGCTCAGCTTTGCGCTTGGCCTCGTTCTGTTCGCGGGCCCTGTCAGACTGTTTCTTCTTGTCTGCTGCGTTCTGCTTGTACAGCTCCTCATTTTGTCCCTTAATCCACCTCAAATGACGTTCGGCATCATGAACAGCAATGTTGTCAACGCCAGTGCAAGACAACAAAAGGTTGTGTCCAGGATTCCGGCCGAGGTAGTCAATGTACTCTTCTTCGGAGTAGATTTCGGTCCGGTACATGTAGAACCATGGCTGGTCGATGTACTTGAAAGACTTCGGGACATCATGATGGCTTGCCAAATCCAAGTAAACCAGCCTCATAGCATTGTGCTCCAGCTGAGATTGCTCAGAAACACCCATCTTGACCTGGGCCTTGGTGCGACCTGGCTTTGGCAAATGTGCAGACTTGAGGAGGTCGTACCTTTCACAATCGTACTCGTTCTCCCCCTCATTCAACACGCTTTCTGCGAATGTGGCATCATGGGAAAACCTGTCAGCCACAGACACGTAGCCCAAACTCACAGCACGGTCAAATCGACTCTTTGCCCTTGCCAATAGACCGGCTTCCGGGCTGGAACTTCCTCTTGCCTGATCGTCCAACAAACCCAAAGATTCAAGCTGACTGTGTGTGATGCTCTGCAGGTACTCACCACGGAAATCATAGTACAAGCCCAGCTTGTGAAGGGCGGCCTTCCTTCGTTCTGCAATCTTGGTTCGGTCGGCCTTGTTGATCCCTTCAAGCATCAATCCACACACGTCGCATTCAATCTGTCCCTTGAAAGTCTGTGCAAAACATCTTGAACATTGCGTGACTTCAATCTTGACCGGCACCGGCTTCTTGTCCTCCTTCTTCACCTCTTTCTTCGAAGGTTGGTCATCGCCTTTAGGGCGAGACTTCTGCTTTGGCACCAATGACTTCGATGTCGATGCTGGCGTCTTTTTGGGCGACTCTGCAACTGGAGCTTTTGGATCTTTCTGCACTGCCTTTGGTGGTGCAACTTTTGGAACAGGCTCCAAGAAGGCCGCAGCTGATGATGCCGCAGGCACAGCTGCGGGCACGCTTGTCAGGGCTGCCTTCTTCTTTGCAGGTTCATCCTTGGCCGCTGCATCAACTTCTGAGGTCACAGCTTTTGGAACTTCTGGTGCATGAGGTGCAGAAGTCCCTTCCTTCGGTGATGCTTTTGGAGGTACCTTTGGCGGTGTCTTTGGTCTCTCAACCTTTGCTGCAGGAGGCTTTGGAGCTTCACCCTTCGGAGGAGGGGGCAACAATCTGCTGCTTGCATATCCAGGCATACCGGCAAGTTGAGCCACATTTGGTGGCGGAGGTTTCACCTTTCCTGGGAAAAATGCTGTTGCAGTGGGCGCGCCAGTTGAGGCGGCCGGAGATGTTGAACCAGTCCTTTTTGGTGCCTTGGCCTCAAAGGTCTCGACAAGCTGTTGGACTCCAACTTCTCCCCCACTGCTCGCTGCAGACTGTGCGACCTCCTGCTGGCGACGATACAAGTTCACCTTCTTGGCAGTGTCATCGACAGAGATAATGTATTGTGGCGGGACGACGTCACTTGTGAGAATGCCGTCGGAAGCTGTCCTGAAAAACACAATTCCAGCTTTGACAGCTTCTGCCATTGCGACCCTGATTTCAATGGGTCTTTCAGCACGCAACCCGCTCACATACTCTTTCTCATCGACTCGAACGTCGCTAAAATAGGAGTGAGCTCTGCCTGACGAATTTCGTTCTCCTCCTCCAGCCACGAAGCCATTCTCAATGATGCCCTTCCAATTGCCTTTTGTAGTCCTGTGATAAACTACGCCAGGGCACATCTGAGGAGTGGTAATCTTTTTCCCCACATCTTTGTGTGGGGTTCTTGTTTTTGATTCTGTATCCCGGGCTCCGCCTCCTCCGCCTCCTCCTCCTCCTCCCGCCCTCCAACACTTTGTCCACACACACTTTGTCCACAGACACTTTATAACAGACTTTGTCCACACACACTTTGTCCACACACACTTTGTCCACACACACTTTGTCCACACACACTTTGTCCACACACACACACACCCACACACACTTTGTCCACACACACTTTGTCCACACACACACACACGCACACACACACACACTTTGTCCACACACACTTTGTCCACACACACTTTGTCCACACACACTTTATCAACACACACTTTGTCCACACACACACACACACGCCCTCCAACACTTTGTCCACACACACTTTGTCCACAGACACTTTATAACAGACTTTGTCCACACACACTTTGTCCACACACACTTTGTCCACACACACTTTGTCCACACCCACACACACCCACACACACTTTGTCCACACACACTTTGTCCACACACACACACACGCACGCACGCACGCACACACACGCACACACACACACACACACTTTGTCCACACACACT